CACACACACACACACACACACACACACACACACACACACACACACACACACACACCTTTGAGCTGAGGCCTGCACACAGACAGGTTTTTGTGTTGATCCAGTTGTTTGTCTCTTGCAGCAGCAGCAGGCAGGATCTCTGGCCTACGTGAGTAAAAACCTTAAACTGTCCAGATGAGTTGATTGAGTGAAAGCCAGCAGCAGCAGCAGGACTTTGTGTCTGCAGGGGGAGCTGGAGAAGCAGCTGCTGCAGGCCAACCCCATCCTGGAGGCCTTCGGCAACGCCAAGACCATCAAGAACGACAACTCGTCACGATTTGTTTGTGTCTTTCTCCACATGAGTGTAAATGAAGCTGAGCTGTGATCTGACTCGTGTCACTGAGCTGCTGTCCTCCACAGGGGAAATTCATCAAACTCAACTTTGACGTGACGGGGTTCCTGGTGGGAGCAAACATCGATACCTGTATCCTTTGTGCTGAAAGCTTGGTGTAGAGCAGCAGCTGATGACGTGCTCCTCCTTCACCCACTCTGTCAGACCTGCTGGAGAAGTCTCGCTGCATCCGTCAGGCCAACACGGAGCGAGCCTTCCACATCTTCTACTACATGGTGGCTGGAGCCAAGGACAAGATGAGGGGTGAGCTCAGCAAACACCAGAGAAAATCTGCTGACAGCTTTTCTTTCTTCAACAACATAAACATCCTTTGTTTCTCCTGACTCCAAAGATCTGAACTGATCTTTGTTTGTTTAGAATGAAGCTTGAATCTTTTCTCTCTGGTGAAATAAAAAAATCTTTCTCTGGGTTCTGCAGACGAGCTGCTCCTGGAGGACTTCAGCAGGTACCGCTTCTTGATGGCGGGTCACGTGGAGATCCCGGGTCAACAGGACGATGAGCTGTTTGATGAAACTCTGGAGGCCATGGAGATCATGGGCTTCACGGAGGAGGAGAGACTAGGTCTGAAGAAGTGCTTCTCACAGTTCGTCTGCACTCTGAGAACCAGGTTCTGGTCCTGTTAGAGGAACTCTGTGGGATCTGCTCTCTGCAGGGATGCTGAAGGTGGTTTCCACYGTGCTCCAGCTGGGAAACATCTCGTTTGAGAAGGAGAGGAACAGCGAGCAGGCCACCATGCCCGACAACACCGGTAACTTCTGATTTCAAAATAAAAGCATGTTCTGTGGACCCGGCCTCTCTGACCCGTTCACCTCCTCACGACCCGCAGCGGCACAGAAGGTGTGCCACCTGCAGGCCATCAACGTGACGGACTTCACCCGCGCCATCCTCACCCCCAGGATCAAGGTGGGCAGGGAGGTGGTCCAGAAGGCCCAGACCAAGCAGCAGGTACCAGAACACRGAGGTTCAGTGTGGTTCACCTGTCATCACTCAAACATCTCCTCCTTCAACGTG